TATCATCCTAAAACTTTAAATTTCCACAACTCCACCCATTCTATAAACACACATATCTCTATCCTTACCCTATACTCCCTCAACTCCCACTATTTAACTAACCAACTTATCCATATTCTTCTTCCCCTGTCTCAACAAAATTCCCCTAGTAATACCAAACCTCCTTATCCCCTATCTAACTACCCTCTCTCAACATAATAATTCATTAACAATATTTCAATTCTCCCATTTAAACACAATACTCCTCAATAAATCCCCCCATATACCACCAACCCAAACCTAAATTCCTAATTAACCATCAATTTACTTTTTTAAATAACCAACAACCATAATGTCCCCCTCCCCTTCTAATAATATCCTCCAACCCACCAAACCGTCACCCCACAACACATACACCTACACCCCCCCCCCCCCCCCCCCCCCCATTAAACCCACTCCCCCCCAAGACACAAATCCTCGAATACCAACATTCTTAATCCAATCCTCCCAACTACTTCCCACTTCCCACAATCAAATTCCATCCTCTAATCAAACTCCCTTACAAATAACAAACACTGACTGAAAACCCAACCCCTTCTCTCAATTATACCCTCCCAAACCCCCCCCCTCTTATCTCTAACCCCCCTAACCCCAACCCTACTCCACCTATCCAACACCCATAAACACCATGTACCCACCCACTAACCCCTCTACAAAACCAACATATACAACACCTACCCTAAATCCTCTTACCCATTCTTAAATAACTATCCACCCATACCCCCCCCACACCCCCCATCACTCCTTTCCCCACTCCCTTTACCCAACACCTCATAACTCCCCAATTACCCACCCTTACACTCTGTATCCCACATAGATTTATGTTTCCCCAACCTTTATCTATCTCCCCACTCAGTACTGACTTCCTTCTCCACCTCTATAGAACTCCAAATCATACCACCCCAACACCCATCCACAACCCCACCCCATACCACCACCCCACACCCCCCCACATATCACCCCCATCCCTGCCCCATACCACTTACACCCACCCCCATATCCCATTCATTATTCATACATTCCCCCTCCCAAAAAATTCTTCCTCAATAAAAATAATACAAAGAAAAACCCTCCCCACTCAATCCCCCCTCCGCTTCCCCAACCCCTTTCCCAACACTTTTCTCCCCCTATTACACATCCCATTCCTACCTCACCACCAAAAAATAAAACCCTACAAACTCAACCCCAAATCCTCAAATTATTATCATCCATGTCACAACCCCATCAAAACGCTAAAAAATTACCCTCCAAAAACCTCTCATCCCCCACTAAACCTCTAAACCTCCCCCCACCCCAACAATCAACCCCCCCCTCTCAATAATCCCCCTCTCAATCCCAGAAACTCCAACTCCCTAACCCCTAAACTTCACCTCTTAATATTACTTCATCAAAACCCCTTCCCCCTCCAACTAATGCTAACTCCATCAACAACCTCATAAAAGTGCCTCCATACAAAAAATAGACCACCCACCTTTCCATTCCCCTTATTCAACCATCCCTTTCCCTTCTTTAACCACCACACCCACTCATCCTAGTTATCTCCTCCTCTTCATATCCACCAATAGTAACTCTCCCTCTATTCCTTTTCCCTTCTTTTATCTTTTCATTCCTTTTTTATTTTTATTAACAATTTCACTTCTAATTCCTGTTTCTTTCAATCTTATTCATTTAAAAATTAATATTTTAACTTTTCTGTTTCCCTTCCTCTTAAGATTTATTTATTCTCTTTTTTTTCTTATTCTTATTCTTTTAAACAATTATCATCTAACTTTTTTCTTATTTTCACCCATCTCTTCTTGTTTTTTTATTGTCCACCAACATCTTTATCTTCTTTCCTTTATTCTAAAATATTTATCCATAATTCTATTCCTCCACTTATTCAGATTCTTACTTGCATTTTCTACTAAAATCCATAACTCACTCCAAATCAAATTAACTATATGATAATATCTCTTCACTATACCACTCTAAACAATATCCTTCACTATAACCTTACCCACCTACTATCTTTTTTCACTCCCCCCTTTTCCCATTATACACAAAAAAACACTCATTCTATTCAATTTACTCTTTTTTTCTCCTCCTTTTACCATTCCTTATCATCTTTCTACAAATTATTCTCCTCATTTACTATGTGTGTTTCCCCCCCCTACCTTTCATCATACTCATTTCTCCCATTTTTCCTTCAACCCATTTCTATACTTATTTTCTTATCATATCCTATCATTCTCCCTCCCATCATAATAAACACCCCATCATCATATCCTCATCCTTCTCTCATCCTATCATACACCCTCATATCATCCTTCATCATTCTCCTCCATATATATCCTCACCATTCTCTCCATCATACAAAAAAGTATAAACATATACAACATATCTTATTATATCACATTCATTCTATGTCATTCTCAAATATTCTATCATCATCAAATTTTATCTTTAATCTCACAAACTCTCCTATACTTATATCTACCAAAATTCCAATTCTTATAATCTAACAACTCCACTCTTCTTATATTCTAAAAAATCTTCTTATTTTATCCTCTCCACTTTCTACCTTATTCTCATTATATCATACATATCCAACTTCAAAACAAACTACCAAACCTTTATCCCTTCATTCCTTCATCTTACAACTTTCCTCATCCCCCCTAACACCACCCCCAAAACCACCTACTATAACCCTCAATTCAAAAACAACTCCCCCATCATATACTCAACTTCCCTCAACCCTAAAACCCTATCCTCCCCCCAACAATTATTTTTTATCCCCACCCATTCTACTTCCATACAAACTATCACCCTCCTTACCCCAACACCAAAAACCACACACCAATTCCTATTTCCCCACCTCCCCCATAAACATACCAAAAAATCTTACACTACCCCTCTAACCCACAACTACCCCAAACAAAATCCAACACCTCACAACTCCCCCCTATATTCACCATCCTACTCCCTCCCCATGTACACTACCCCAACTTTCCTCTAATACATACTCCCCAAATCCTCTATCCCATTCCCCATACTCCCTTTCCCATAACCCCAAAAACCCCACCCCCCACACTCACCTTTCCCCTAAATACCAATTATTCTTTCCTCCCTCTAACTCTAAATAATACCTTCCCTTTTACCCCCTCTTAAATCCTAAACTCTCCAAACTAAGTAACCCACAAACCCCACACAATACACCAATGTCAAATTACCCCTCAATTTCACTACGCCCCAATACCAACCAACTCACCCCCTCATACAAAATTATCTCCCTGTCCTATCCTACACCTCAACCAACCTACCTACCATCCACCCCAAAAACACACCATTCCTCTATTTAAACTACTCACCCATAAACCACTCCCACCTTATAATTCATACTCAAATCTTTCAAAACCTCTCCCCCCTCCTATCCTTCCTATCCATACACAAACTATTCCCATTCTCACCTAAGATACCCAACCCCCCTCATCCTATATACTACCTTTTCCACCCTAAAATACCCTACCCACCATCACCTTCTCCCCCCCCCATACCCACCCCATTCAACCCTTCTCTCCCCCTTCTCCTCCCCCTCCTCTCCCTCTCTCCTCCTCTCCACACATCTCTGTCCTTCCTACCACCCCCTTTACTCTATACTCTCACTCAACCATCTCACTCAACCCCCCCTCCCTTCTGTCAACCCACGCCTCCTCCAAATCACTCAAATTTTGTACTCCCCCCCCCCCCCACTACTCACAAACTATGCATCTCCTAAAACCCTGTACTATCTCACCCCCTCTCCCCTGTCAACTGTCCACCCCCCCCACTACTCCTCCACCAGTCCCCCCCCCCCCCCCCCATACCACTCAACTTAAATACCTTCATCCCCTCTATGTATTTCCCTACAAATCCCCCTACAATAAACTAATCACTAACCCAACACCCCCCCTACCATCTAACCACCTTCTAACCACCCAACCCCTACCCACTAACCTCTAACCTCACCACTCATCTAAATCACCCCAAATTCCTCCCAAACTAACCCTAAGCACCGTCCCAATCCAACACACCAATCTCCTACCTACAAAACTATAAAATAAACAATCTTCCCTCACCATCCCCCTATTCCTCCTCATCAAATCTAAACCCATCCCACCTAATACAACACCCATTCCAACCCATACAACATATCATATCTTCAAATAACTATTATACACCCCACTCCGTACCCCCACTAAACATAATCCATCCCTCTCTCTCATCCCCTCCACTACCCAACAAACCTTATTATTCATCATCCCTTTCCCATACTACTCACACTCGCTCCCTCTCTCCAAAAAAAACAAACCCCCCCCCCATATAAAAAACCACCCCACCTTCCCCCCATCCCCCCCCCCTCTCCATCAATTCCCCCTCTCCCCAATTCCTCCAACCTCCCCTCCCATCAACCCCTAACCTTCATATCTATATCTCCCATTCCCCCCCCCACTACCAAAAATCCAGTTCCCTCAAATTCCCCAATTCCACCCTCCCTCAAATTCCCACCAAATTTTCCCCCACATTCAAACATCCACATTCCACCAAATTCATCCAATCCAATTTACAATTCCCCCCATCCTCATCCCCTATATCAATTTCCCTCCCTACCCCACCTCCAACCATTCTCCCCCCCCCCCCCCATCCTCCATCTTCCTCCCCTTGCTATTTCTCTCATAAAACCCTCTTCCCAACATTCCCCCCCACTCATCATCCAAAATTTACAAAACCCATTTTTGTCCCTGTTGTCAATAATCCCCTAAAACATCCCTCATCCCCATAAAACATCTAAAACATCTAAAAATCCTACAACTCTAACATCTTAAAAACTCTTCTCCGCTCCCCTCTCCGCCCGCCCCGCCCTTCCTCTCCCCCTCCCCACCACTTTCCCAACACCCACTCACCCAATCTACCCATCCACCCCACTATCACCACCCCACCCCAACCTACCCCCCTATAATACAAACCCAACCCTCATATTTCCCCCATACTAACCCCCACCCCCCACACCACCCCCCCTTCCCCCACGACCCCCCCCCCCCCCCACCAACACTCACCCCACCCACAACCCCCCCCAACAACACGTCTACCCACTCAACCCCCACCCCCTACCACTATCATCCACCAAAACTAACACCCCACCCACAAAGTCCCCCCCCCCAATCACCCTAAACAATATCCCAAAAACCCCCCAACACAACCCCCCCCCCACCCCCCCCCATACCACATCACATCCACCGCACACCATCTTCACAAAAACCACAAATCCTACCACAAACCTAACATAAAAACCTAAACTATAACATTCCCCCACCATATCCCCTGACTCACTCCTCCAAAAACCCCAACCCCCTCTCCCCACAAACCACACACTCCCCCTACCAACCCAACAATCCTACATTACCACAACCAACATACATATCATACCCCTCCCCTCCCATATCCATATTTCACCCCCCCCCTTTTGTCCGTCTTTTACTTATATAAATCCTCATCCAAACCTTACCCACACTCATCCCCACCCTCTCCCCACCCACCCCTTTTCCCCAAATAAATTCTATTTCCCCCTCTCCACCACATACAACTCAACCCCTCCCATATATAAAAGTCCCCCCCCCCCCCTCCCCCAATCTAACATCGTATCCACCAACACTCACACCTAAACACCCATTGCCCATCCCTACCCCCTCTGTGTTCTAACCTCCCCTATACTGTATAAACCACCCCCTAAACTAATTCTTTATCACACACCCACCACCTCAACTTCCCATCTACCCCCAACTAATAACCCCCTATACCCCCCCCCCCCACCCTCATTATACACCTTACCCCCCCCACAAAACCATCATACACTTCTCCCTTTCCTGTCTACACCCCCCCCCCCTCTCCTACCCTCCCCCCTACCCCAACACCCCTCCACCCTACCACACATATCCCCCACCCCCCCCCATACTCCAACCACCAAGACGACCCCCTCTCTAAAACTACATAAGACTCCCCCCCCATACTTATACCCTCCAAGTCTCCTTCACCACCCCTTCTTCTCCTCCTTAACACCCTCCCCCCTCATTTTCCAAACCTGTGTGTCAAAAACCTCATCCCCTCAACCCCCTATCACTCCCTACCCCAAATACTCTCCTCTCACCAAATTAAATATCTACCTTCCCTTCCTACAGATGCCATCCCCCAACTCTACACCCTCCCTCCCCCCTCCAAACATTCTCCCACCACACCCCTCCATCACACCCTACTCAATATCCCTTCCCACTACAACCCCCCACCCCCCCCACACATCATCTATAACCACAACCAACAACAACATACCCCTCCCTATTACCAATATGTCTAACGTTATACCCTCTCCGTACCCTCCTTTCATACTTCCCACTCATCACTTTGTAACACCTAGTACCAAACCCCACTCCCATCACTCAACACACACCTCCCCCCAACCCATCAAACAACCCTCCTACCCACAACCCACCCCAAACCACCCACCCAATACACAACACCAAATCACCCCTCAATACCCCCAACACCCCCCCCATCCATCTCTTTCTTCCAATCCATCCCCAACCATATCACTCCCCCTATATGTCATTCCACCCCACCACCACCCACCAAAAAACATACAACCCCCCAACTCTCCATGAACCCCTACCAACCCATATCCATCTGTACACTCCACTCTCCCCACCCACCCCTCATACCTCCCCATCCATCACATCTCTATCCCCAAGTCCCCCCTCTCTCTCTGTCCCGCTGTCTCACCCCCACACCTATAAAGTGTCAGAAATGTCACCCACTTCCCTACACCTCCCCCCCCCCCAAACTACCCTCAACCTCAAGACCACCCACCTCCAAACCCCCACCCAACCATCACCCCACACCACTCCTGACCCAAACACCTCCCCAACTCAACACCCCCCCCCCCCCCCCCCCCCCCCCCCCTCTCCCCCCACACACCCCCACCCTCCAATCCACTCATCCCTTACACTCCCCTAACCCACCTAACCCCAATATGTACCTCATCAAAATACATCATAAAATCCATGTCCACATATCTAAACATCTATGTCCCCACCCCCCCCCCAACACAATAAAAAACAAAAATAAAAAAAATCAAGTGTCACAAAACTAAACACAAAACCTACACTCTACACCCCACCATCTGACAATCAGTTCATCAAGTACACTAACCATGTTCCCACCCAATACACATAAAAAACACCCAAATACCCTACTCACACCAAAACGTCTATAAAAAAAAAAAAAACAAAAACCCCCCAACAATCATCACCCCCAATCTATCCCCCCCTTATCACCATATCACCTTTTCTTATAACTACTGCAACTCCCTCCCACCATCCACCTATCCTTCATACCCTCACACCCACTTCCCCCCATAACATCCACATCCTATCATAACATATATCCCTACATGTAAAACTCATATATCTATCCCCCATCACACAGCCTCCATCTACACTCCCATAACAACATAAATCTCTCCTTTCCCCTCCCCTCCTACCCCCTATAATCCCAATCTTTCTCCCAACCCACCACCCTCTAAATTCCCCATCACCTACCCCACAAACACCCAAACTCAACTTCGCTCTCTCCAAAACCCCCACCCCCCCGTAACACCCTCACAATCACACACCCCCCAAACATCATTTTTTCCCCCCAAATCAAACACCTAGTGTAGCAAACCCCTCCCCACCTTCTAATTCATCCTTCCATACGATAACTCTACACTACATCCTTATGTGAAGTCGCCTCACTCATCCCCTTTCACTCTACCCTTCACTCTACCTCCCACTGTAACCTACCCACTCCCCCCCACCTATCCCACTCCACACCACCTTCTCTTCACCTCCTCCTTCATCTTCCTACATACACCTATAACCACCCACCATCCTTCCCCCTCCCAAACCCACTAATCCTCCATACCACCCATAAAACCCCAACCCCCACCTCCCCCCCCCCCATGCCCTTTTCCCCCCTCCCCTTAAACATCCTACCCTTCTACCACTCAACCTGCACCACCCCTCACACCCCAAATCTCAATTTGTTTTTAACCCCTCAGCATATTACTCCTGTCATCTCACCGTACTATGTTTCCGTCACCTGTACCTCCCCCCCTTCCTTATTCTCCCCCCCCTTCACGTTCCATGCCCCCACATACACAAAACACGTCTCACTACTAATAATAATATCCTCTCCTCACAACAGAACTCACATCTAAAATACCCCTCTCCATATATTCCTAACTCATTCAATACCCTGCTGTCAAAACCTTACCTTCCTCCACTTTTAAATCCCTCCTTTCTCCCACCCCACCCCAAAACAACTGTGTTTGTGTTTTACTACACATCGCACTCTACCCATAACCAGTCCACCCTAATCCAAAAAAACCATCCTATGTATTAATTATCCTCAATCGTCTAATACACTCCCTCCCCTAAACGTCCTGAACATCTCCTCACTAAAACCCATCTAATCCACCTAAAAAATCAAACCCCTGTTCTATTCCGCCCCCTAGATCTCACTTAAAACATCATCCTATCTTATCAACTGTTATCTATCCCTCATAAAATTCCACATATCCATCATCCCATTAAAAAACTCCCCCCATTACTGTCCACTCTCACATTACCCAACTTGACCGCTCATACCCTACCGCCCACTGTCTGCCCAACCACCTCCCCACCAACACAAATACCCGTCCCTTCTTCACTCCGTTCTCCCTGATATCCTCAACTGTGACTCAAATTCAGTTTCATACTCCCACATCGTATATCATATAGAAACATAAACCCTATACTCCCCCATGCTATACCCTAAACCTGTTTCGTTGATCATTCTCATTTGTCCTTCATTAATATCCGCCCCCACTTCCTAAACAAACCTAAAACACGTCTAAACCCCCATTAAAACAAATAAACCCAAAACACCTCCCATGTGCTACCCTTCCCTACCCCCTAAACACACTACCATATACCTACCCCCCATCTCCCACTTTACCCCCCTCTCCTACCCAACACTACACCCCCATTCTTAAAATACTTACAATACCCTACATCTACCTTCACAATACACACCACACCCCCCACCAAAATCACCCATCACCCATATCACCCACCCCCCATATCACCCATCCAAGACCGCTATTGTCCCCCCCCCCCCTTCCCCCCCCCCCCCCCCAACCCCCTCCCCCCCAACCCCCCAACCACCCCCCCGCCCCTCCACATACATTCAACCACAACCACCACAACCCCACCACACCTTTTCAAAACACCACACCATTTACTTCCCCCCACCCCCCCCCCTCCCCCCCCACCCCCCCACCCCCACCCCCCCCTTGTCATAACATAAAAAAAAAACAATTTCTGTCGCCCACCACCTTCCTCAACCTACCCCCCCCCTCCCCCCCCTCTATCTACCCCCCAAATCCTACCAAACCCAAAACAACCACACAACCAAACCATATCAATCAACCCACCCCCAAAACAACACCAACACCAAACTCATATACCAAACCAAACAACACCACACTAAACCCCCACAAACACCAACAACCCCACATAAATACAAATAACCACAATCTCCCACAACAACCCCCACAAAACCACACCACCCAACAATATTCCAATCCCAACAACACACTTTCACAACACTATTTCAAATCACACATACACAAACCAAACCTTCCACCCCTCACTATCCCCCCTAACCTTCCAATAACCCACACCCCAACAACATTTATAAAACCCCACCCATATAATCCCTCTTCCTACCATACCAACAAAAGCTTCCTACATTTCATCCATCCCCCACAAACCACCCCAACTCACCACGACCCCCTATTCCTTTCCCCACCCTTTAACATACCCTTCTAATCCACCTCCATACCAAAACCCTACCCTCTACAACCACCACCAAATCCCCTACCCCACACCCTCAAACACCAAACCTCCACTAACCATTCTCTAACCACCTCTCCCCCCATCCTATGAATACCATCTCTCCTTATCTTCCTCTCCCCCACACCTCCCCACAATATCATACTCACCCACACCACACCCCAACTTAAAACCCTAATCTCTCATTACCAACCCATATAAAAATTCCCCCCACATTTAAACCACCCTCCCTCACCACCCCCTTAATTATTACCAACCCCTATCTTACCCTCCCCCTCGTTCTTCTCTGTATGCTCTCTCCTCTTCATCCCCACCAACCACTCTCCTCACTGACCAATCACACATTTAACAATTTTGACCTTCCCTCCCCTTAAATTCACCCACCCCACACCCCCATAATACCACCAACCCCATCCCCACTTTACAACATGTACCCAAACACTTGCCATCACCCTCCTCTTTATCCTATACCCTCCTTCTTAATCAAAACTCCCCAATTCATCCTCTTATCTCCCCCCACCGCCCGCTCTTCTATAACCTCTGTCTTCCCCCTCTAAAATAAAACCAACATGTCCCACCAAATTCACCAAACCCCCCTTATTTTATCACACACCCTCCACCCTCACCTAACCTTCAAATGCCTGCCTTCATTACCATCCCTCTCCCTATTCCTATCGTGTCCTACCAAACACCTTTACAACACTCCACACTTAACCTACCACCAGTCCAGCCCACTGATAAGTGATCTAGAAAATACCATCCCCCCCCCCAATCTTTTCCCATGCCCCCACAAATCAAGATCCCCCCCCATATTACCAATCATAAACATATACACATAATGACATATCAAATTTCTTGATCCTACCTATCAACCCCACCTCTCCCCTCATGCCCCCTCACTTATTCTTATAAACCCCAACCCCATTTTTAAACCTCCTCTCCCCTCTCATCCTCTATATCCTTTCTCTAACCTCGTGCCTCTGACCCCCTGCGATAGTGTAAGTTACTCATTCCCTAACAATTCTATCATAACTCCTTAGCCCATCTCTCCTACATTAATCCCCAACCTACATGCCACTCTCTCCCCCGCCTACTCCGCCCCTCACCTTCCTCAAGCAACTCTGTCCTCCTACTATCCCCTATATTTCATTACAAACCTAAGACTCTCCTCCCATAAAACAACTACACTCATTACTCTTGTCTCCCCTCCCCACTCCCCCCACCCTGTACGCCCCTCTCCATCCTCTCCTAACACCCCTGTCTCCATTCTTCCATTCTCCCACTCTCCATCTTCTGTATTGCCTTTATATCCATTCGTCCTCTCTTTATATTCTCCAATACTCCCCCCCCCTAACCCTATTCCCCTCCTCTTCACCATCGCCAATCCACTCCATCTCTAAACTGCCAAATACGTCTCACCCTCAATGTCAACCTCCTATAACATCCCACACCACAACTCCCAATTACAACTCTCCCATCGGCCGTCTGTCCTCTTATCCCCATCCGTTGTCCCTTCTTCATGTACCCCCAGCTGTCTCTTGCCCACCCCTGCTCCTCATATGACCCCCAACTAACACTCCCTCTGTCGTGCCTGATACCGCTACCCGCGCATCTTATACAACCCCCCCCGTCCCCCCCTCCCACTTCACAACCCCCCACTCTGCTAACATCATCACACCCTCCGCTTCATCCACAGTTCTACTATACTTCTCCATGTGCCAGTCCCACTCATATATTCTCATCTATTGTAACCTACACTACAACTACTCTCACATCATAGTCCCGACGCCAATTCAACCCCTTCCTCTCTCACGTCCCTCTCCTCCTACCATCTATTCCTACAGTCCTAAGATGCATCCAACATAAATCTCTCACCACAATAGTGAGACACAGTCCGTATCACACCATGTGTACTACGTGTGTCTACAAACTCCTTCCCTAATATAACCAGTCGCAACCACTCCTACTCGTTACTATACTATATCACCCTGTCCCTCTCTTACCCTACGTGACCAACACTAGATATACTCTAATAGGTCATAAGATTATAAAAACCCCCCCAACCCTAAAGATCAGATCTCAACTCCCTTAAACTACTCCTCAACTCACATGTCACCCTCACAATAATCCAATATCACCGTGTTACCTAGCATAAAAAAATGTGTCCGCCTCACCCTACTCCTGTGCAAATGTAACCCACCCCCAGATCACAAACCACCTGATTCTACAGCACTATCCTTTTCACACACTCTTATACCACCCTCTCCATCGAATCTCTCCCTCTCTCCCCACCTCTCCTCCCTGCAATCGTCCTATTCACTCAACATAACCTCCCTCATCCCCCACTCGTACTAGACCCAAACCACTGAGATTGTTGAATTCCACCTTTTTGTCTATAGACGTCCCTCTGCACCTCTCCACATCACAGCTCCCATAATTTCCCAAACCCTCTCCTTACTCTATATTACCTCCTCAAACAATCTTAAAAAATAAAATTAATCCCCCCCCCCCCCAAAATATAGCTGACACACCACTCGCTTCGTCCCTCCCAATCTCGTTGAACCACGTTTTAACGAACCAAACAATCCTCATAACCCTCCCCATCTCAAATCCCCACACCCTACACCCCTCTGCCTTGCCTATGATCACACTGTCAGATTTGTGACTTTTAATTCTCTCTTAACTCTCGCGCCTCCTTTTGATAACCATTATCCCTATCATCCTGTCACCGTAACCTAGATAAAGACACCAGTATACCATCAATACTTTCTGCCATCAATGTGCCTACATCCATCTGTAACCAAAAACATGTCATACACCTGTCACGTGCCCCCACTCCCTACCTCTGTGTCCCTAATACCAACTACACCCTACTTACTCCTTGTCCTGTTCTCTTTCATGCCCCACTCCCCTCTAACCTCACGTATATCAATGTAAATTCCTAAAATCTCCTCCTCCCCCCACTCACCCTTTCCCCTACCTCATCTCATAACACTTACTCAAATCACTCGCCAGTCATCTACACCCCAAACCACTCCCTCCTAATCTCAGACAACCGCCCCGCTATAAATCCCAATTTCCTTTCCCATTAAACAACCAAAACCATAATTTTACCTACTAACCACAACACATTTTCCACATACTATCCCCTGACGCTAGTGTCACAAAACAGTTCGTCCTCATACCCACACTACCTACATAAACCCAACAAACAATCTTCCCTACCCCTCCTCTTGTATCCCCCTAATTATCAATCTCACCCTCTGTCGCACCAGCACAAAATTCTGTACAACTTTATATTTATACCCTGTAACACCAAAACTCCCATTATAAATCAACACCACATATCATTATGCTACTCTACTTCCCCCTATCCAATGAATCACACACAACCCCACACGCACGTTACAATTCTAACACCATTCATTGTCTGACAAAATACACATAGTAATCCCGCTAAGTCACCACCCCCCCCACTCCACCCCCCTTGTAAATCATAGTGTGTGTGACATAAGTCAGAATGAGACAGTAATATAATCAGACATCAACTAGTACTTTCAAACCCTTTAACCATCAAAAATCTCCTCAGAATATAACAATCACTCATGTCTCAGAGATATAAAATAATACAACAAAATCAATACAAAAGACTACACTTAGAATGTGCACCCTCAAAACAACCAAAAAGTTAATACAAAATGACCACGTAATGTCAGAAAGAACTACCCATCTAGACTCTCTTAGTCAGAATCCACCTACTCGCCCCTAAGCCGTCGCACATGATTTCCAGTAATCAGTCCCAAACTAACCCTATTATCCTCCCTTATCTCCTTGTAACATCTTTTCTCATATACTTTCCCCCACACCTCACCCAAGAAAATCCCCTCTTACAACAATTATTCCCCTTCAACAATTTCCCACCCCATCTCCCAACCATCAATCCCCATTATCATCCATACTGACTACCCCTCATACCCCTACATAGAACCAGACCCGACAGTGACAATAAAGTATCCCTCTCCTACCGTGACCCCTATCTCCAACACGTTCAACTCTCAATGTCAAATGTCAGTACATACACCCCACACCTCACCTGTCTCCCCATACTAGGCTCACATCCTATTAACCCCCATCCCCACTTTATCCACCATCCCCATGAACTCTATAACATACATGTCTCCATAAACCCCATGATCTGAATAATGTACCCCTCAAAAAGTTCCCATCCTCCCCCCCCCCTCCTCACCCATCCCCCTCTACCACCCTTCCCATTCTACTCTCACATCCACTTATATGTACAATTAACTATATCCTAATATCGCATCCCACCCATGTATACACACTCATATGTGTCTACCATGTCCACCTCAAAATAATGTAGCTACTGCTCCACATCCTCCCCTCTAATCCTAGACTCCTTCACTCTGTCCCAGAAACATCCACATGACTAAGAACAATCCTCCTCCGCCTACCTATCCATTCTAACTAACACAAGTCACGCCCACACCTCACTTAGTTTCCCACATTAGTAAACACATCTCTTCCCCTCTCTGTGTCTGTACACCTCCGATTACTCAACCATGCCAGTTAAAATTCATCCTGCCGCATCCCTCATGTCCACTTAAGAACAACCCTGAATAAAATCAATCTATTATTAACATCCCTCCCAACACAACCCCCATCACATAGTCACTTGTCCGTGTCACGACACACATCTTGTCTCCCTGATCTAGTTTCCCTAATACAACAGCATGACCCACAGACCCCACCATCCCACCCCCATATATGCAACCTTCCTTCTTCCCATTTACCAATCCCCCAAACCAATAACATTCACTCCTCTCAAAATCCTCTCCCCTTACCCAATCCCCCACTTCTACCAATTAATCATTCACCAAATCCAGCCACCTCCCACTCCTCTCTCTCCCATACACGTTCACTCTCGATTCCTTGTGTAGACGTGTCCGTCTTCTCCCTCCTCCTCCCCCTTTTTCCCCTCCAAATTTCCGCTCCTCTATATCGTCAACCCACCCGCACACCTCTCTTAAGTCATCCCCCCACACCCTTCCACCTCCCCTCCCACCCAACCCTACCCACTTCAACCCTCCTTACCAAGCGCTGACATCCACTAACCCCCTACCCCCGACCCCCCACCTCCGCCCGTCACCATCCCCTCACTCTCCTATCTCCCTCACCCCCCTCTCACATAGCCGTCCTGTATCCGCACCACCCAGTACCACCCTCTTCCCAACCGCCTCAAACCCCATCCCCGTCCACTGTCCTTCTTCCGCTATCTGAGAACCTGCATATACTCTCTATGTTCCCCATCACCCAAACAACCTCTTCTTCCATCCTGAATTTTGCCACATCCTACTCACATCTCTCTCTCCATTATGTGAACAACGCCCTCCTCTGACCTCCCTCTTGGTGTCATTCACCCACCACCCTCCTCATCCTACATCTATTACATATCCTCTACCCGTCATCATCTATCACCTTGTTTTCTCATCACTCATATCATACTCCACTCTCCTCACTAACTCCCCACACTCCTGCACCCGAGTCCGTCCTACCCCATCACCCGTCCTCCCTTCATTCCCATTCATTTTTAACCACACACCCCCATGACACCCCCAACTAACCCAATCCCAACCCATTACCTTCATTTTTCCCCCCCTCAACAACCACACAACAAGTTAAACATATTGACTGTCCCAAACCAAATTAAACTCACCCTCATCACATACATTCAAACACCTGTAACACAATCATTAAGCACTAACTGTCATCAGTCTATCCCAACCATACTCCACACCCCCATAGACTGCCCACGCTGTCAATTATACACTATCACCCACAAAAACAATCCCCAAACTAACACCACCACCTCCCAGTTAACTTTGGCGACCAGACCTTCCACACATCCCCCACAACAACCCCCTGACACACCAAACCCCAACCTAATCCCCCCCCGCCTCCCCAGCCTCATAACTCCTCCCCCTAACACATCACCCAGCAACCCCTCCCCCCACCAGCACCCCCTCTACACCAGCCAACACCTCTCTTCCCCCACCCAAACCCATCAACCCCATCACCCCCACCAACACAATCAACCCACCCTACCCCCACCCCACCCATCCCCCTCTCCATCACACCACCTCCCCTCAACCCAACCCACTCACTCACATACTCTCCACCATATTTAATCCTCTTCTACACATCACACTCCCTCCCTCCATGTCCGTCAACGTATGATGGCGTGATGCCTGTACTGTTACCCCTTTCTTGCCATACAAGACTCCACCTTAGCCAATCAAAGTTAAAACACATCCAACACCTTCCCAACCATTTAATATAAAACATACACACATTCCAATACTACTTATAACCTTTTACATCCACATCCTTCCCCCCCTCTGCACCTGTGCCTAAACCCTATCAATCTCCCCATAACATCACACAATTACACCATAAAAAACATACACACCAATATCAAATAACATAACCACACTCACTATAACCTTGGCATCCCAAGTCCATTCCCCCCCACCCTCCCCAATCCTATTAACACGATCCACCCCCCCACAAACACCTAATCATCAGAACTCCTGCTCCCCCACACCATTCTTATTCAAATCTGACCATAAACCTATCCCCCACAAATACTCCTCGCCTTGACTCATATTTCACTAAACCTACATAAATCCACTGCTGCAAAAAACCCAACACCACCCCCCCCCTTCCACCACACCACAAACTAAGATCACACCACTCCCCTCTACATTACCATAAAATCAATAATCCAAAACCATCTAATCATACCTAATAAATCCCTCAAATCTCTAAAACTAACAAACTTATCAAAACCACAAAATTTTCCACCATAATCATCCATCACCCATCACCTCTATCTATCTCAACATCCACAACAATTTACACCCACCTTCCTACAATATTCCCCCCCCCATCCTATGCTTCCCCACACTCCATACTAACCCATTTTTCTCCCCAAACACCATAACCTATTACTAATAAATCTCAAACTTCACATAAAAATTACACAAAAATATACCTTTTGAACCCTCCCCCCCCAGTTTGCTACACATCAACTCGCACTCCTCCTACCCCACCAATCCCAACCTTTATCCCTCAACAATTGTCCATCACCCAAATCTCAATCCATACAAACCATACTCATCCATAAACCCACATTACCCATTCTATAAAATCACATAACATTCCTCCCACTCAATATGTCCTTAACCCACTATCCCCCACCTCCTCATTTCTTATGACACTCCATCCACTTACCTTTCCCCCCTCTCTCTATCCTTTCTCTTTTCTTTTGTCAACTACTCTTCTATAGTCTCATAACCCCGTCACCTCTACTCAGTCCTCTTCCAACCAACACCTCACCTAACTATTTTAAACCCCACTGCGCTCTAAGTACCTCAACAATGTAACCTTCTCTCCCTTTCCTCTCTCATATCAACGCTAAAGTCCTTATCCTCCCCCCACATTATAACATAAAACCCCCTAACCACTCAACCCCACCCCCATCTCACCACCAATCAACTTCTCTCCCAACCAACCTTACCCATACACAGATCTAATTCCCCCAAAAATCCATCCCTTACCCCTTCACCCCCCTCACTACACCCACCCCTCACCCCACCCTCCCTCCTTAATATCTCCACCCACCAACATCCCATACCCATCACCCCATACCCCTCTCACCCACCTAAAATCTACCACCCCATCCCTCCATTCATACACCCCCCACAAAACCCTAAAAATCTCTCCATAACCAAACCACACCCCCTCCTACTACCCCCATACAATCAAATTCCACAACCCCTTCCATCCCATCTACCACTTACCCCATCACCCCCCTCTCTATATACCTTACAACCCCTACATACCCCACACCCCAATCCAAACAATTTCCACTAAATCCCCCTATAACACCCTAACCACCAAAACACCAACCCCCCACCATATCACATAAACCTACTTCAAACTCCCCCCTTTCCCCATCTCCATCAACTACCCTTAACCCCCATCACACCTTCCATTCCCCCCATTCCTTCCCCCAAACCAACCCCATAACTCAACCTATCATCAAATCCCCATATCCCCATCTCACAAACCCTCTCCACTCTTAATTTTAATTTACTCATTCCTCCACCTAATTCAACTTACAACAATCTCCTCCCACCAAATATTCTCAATTCCCCCATATACCACCTCACACATTCCATCCCCATATTCTCCCCTTTTTACTCACCATTTCCACAAATAACCACACACCATCATCTACTACTAACACTCCCCTCCCCCCTAAACCACACCACCCACATCCTCTTCCAATAACATAACCCCCTCATCCTTCTCCCCATCCCCTATTCACCACCAACATACACCCCTCACTATCTATTTCAATCCCCCCCCCAACAACCTACCCTCCTCCCCCCCATCCCATCAATACAAATTACCCCCTCCCCCCTCTCTCTCTACACATACACACCCTAAAACCCACCCCCCAACCCCCTTACCTCCCAACTTTTACCACCATTTCAACCAAAACCACTCCCACCCCACCTAACCAGCTCCCCAAAAACACCCAACACCCCCCACAATCCCTTCACCCCCCCCACTATACACCCTCCTCCCTCTCAAAACACCCATCCCAAAACAAAAAAACAAATAACCCTACTTAACTCCACCATCCCCATTTCCATCCACCCCCATACCCCCTTCATACCCCCTCATCCTACCCACCCCATCCTCCTACTCTAATCCACTCCCCCTTCCTACCTCCCCAACTACCATACCAATTACACATCCCCAAACACTATTACCCTCTCCACTCAAACCCCTCAATACTATACCTACACACCAATCCACTCCCCCCCCCCACACAACTATCCATAACTACCCACATCCCCCTCTTCCACATCTTCTCCCTTTCCATTTACCCATAACTATCCCTCTACCTCCACCCCCATTTTCTTCAAATATCAAAACTCAACCATCATCCACCCCACATTCCCCCCACAACCATCCCTCATATCTTCCCTTCACCAACATCCCCATCAACCCCCCATTAACCCCCCTTATCATAAACTATATCACCCCATCTTTCAAAACAACAAAAACACAAATAAACCATAAATACAATCAACATCAAAACAATCACACAATAACCTCACAAATCAAATAATATATCATCCAATATCACAACCCCACCCAATAATCACTCAATCAAAATCCAATACCCCCAACCCCTCATAAATCCCCCTATCCAATTCCCCCTACACCACACCCCATCCCACCCCCATACCTACCCACCACAACAACATCCTACCCATAATATCCCTTAACCCCCAAACCCCAAATACAACCCCCCATTCACCCCCACAACACACAAAACACTCCCTCCACAACATTAATCATACCCACACACACAACACAAAACACACAAAACCCACCCCCTACCTTCATCCTCAATCTCCCCTTCCACAAACACCAAATATCCCAACATACCAAACCCTTACAATACCCCCAACAAACCTCAAACCCACAACACTCATCACACACCCCCCCTTCACCCCCAATACTTTACACTTTACACAAAACCCACAAACATATTCCCATAAACATCCCCCCCCTCCCTTCCCCAACCAAAAAAACACCCACAAACCCCAACCACCCCCTCAACCCCACCCCTCCAAACACCAAAACCCCCCAAAAATACATACTCCTACATCCACCAACCCCATACACAATCAAATTACCCTTAACCATTAATACTCCCACTCCAACTTCCCCACTCCTTCAAACCAATTCATTAAAATAACCATCCCCATTCATATACCCCACTCACCACCATCATACCCTCCTCCACTTTCCCCCCCCCCCCCCCTCCCTCACACACACAAACCACACCACCTCAATAATATAATCTCTCTCACCAAAACATAAATTAAAATAAATACACTCACATTCCCACATCATCACACAATTCCCCCTCCCAATTCCCCCTCCCCTCCCCCATCCACTACACAATCCTCATCCACAATCACCCCCCCTCCATATCCCCACATTCCCACACCCATCACATACAACCCCCCTCATTCCTCCCCCCAACAAAACCCCATCACCCCTTCCAATACCATACTACAACCTACTCATAACCCACAACTACCCCCCTACTCCCCTACCAAACATAAAAACCCCCCCACACCCCCCACCACTACACCCCACTACCACCCCCATACCACCAACAACCCAACTCCCCCCCACTCCCCTCCACCAACCCCTCCAATCCCTAATCCCTCTACCCCCCACTCCCACCCTCCCAAATCCCCTCTCACCCATCTAAATACTAATCCCCACTCTATACCCCCACATCCATCCCACCCATTCACCCACTCCTAACCCCCCACTCTTTCACACAAACTCCCCTAACCCACACCCCTTACCCTTTCCCCAACCCCCCCCCAAACCCCACTCCTACTCACCCTAACACCCCCTACAATCACCCCTCCCCCACTCACATCCCCACCAACCAATATAACCCCCAATAATCCATATCCCACTCCCCCCTACACCTTCCCTCCCCTTCCTAAAAATACACACCCCCACCACCCCCTTGTCCCACCACCTATAATCCCCTAACCACACCCCAACACCCCCCAACCTCCCCACCTCTCCTACACCCACACCCCTACCCCCCCCTAATAACCTAATCACCCTCCCACCCCCTCCCCTCCAATAAACCATCTCTCTACACTACACCCACTACCTCATCTACATCCCCATACCCACCCCACCAACCTTCCTCATACTCACCACCTCTAAAACCACTCATCCACATCCCCTCTCTACCAAACAATACCATCAATTTCCACCCCTTCTACCCTACCCCTATCACACTCTTACCTCTTATTAAACCACACTTTCCACCATACCCCACCAACCAAAATATCTATCCCATTCTCTCCAAAACCCCTCCTTCTATAAAACCTACACAACACATCTCCCCTACCTCTATCCTCTCCCATTTCATTCCAACTATATATCCCAAATTCACACTAACCTTCATCTCATCCTCCCACTCCATACCATCCTATACAACCATCCCCATAAAATCCCTCCCTATCTCCTTACCCAATCCTCACTACACCCACCATTCTCCCATCATAATTCACTCAACCTTACATGACTGACCCAATCCCACATAAAAATCACCATTCCCACAAAAAACTCATTAACCCCTCTATCATAACATCCAAAACATTTTCACAACCCCCAAACCTGTACATCTCACTCCTACCCAACCAACTCAAAACATAATCTACCTTCAAAAACTCATCTCTCTTCCATACTCATTTCCCTCAATTCCTACAAACAAATAAATTTCCCCCCCTCCCACCACAACTTAAATACATACCTAAACTTAATCCACTTCCTACTAAAATCCCCCACCATCAATAAATTCCACTCCTATCCTTATATCTCCCCAAATAGTACCCCCATAAACCCATCCCTCCACATGAGTCACTCCCCAGACTCCTACATGTCCTATATTCTCCTCCCACCTCCAAAACTCACTCACACACACTAAACATCTATCCACCATCTCCACCCCATCCATATCTCCACTCCCCCCCAACACCTTACCCATCATCCCCGTTTACCACCCCCCCTCAACCTCTCTCACATCAATCTCCCAAAACCCCCCCCCCCCCAACCAACCCCCACCCCCCCAACCCCCCAACAAACCCAACTTACCTCCACCCCCCCCACTTCTCCTCAATCCCCCCCTCCATATCACACCCCCTCCCCACCCACTAACCCTCCCCTCTTACACTTATCCTCCTACCCCCAACCCTCCTCCCAACTCCCCCCCATCAAACCTTCCAACTCTCCCACCATATCTACTCTAACCATTCACACAATACCCAATCCTCTCTTAACCTATCTCTCATAATTTTACCCCATCTTGATCAACCCCCACACCACATCTAATACTCCACACCCACTCCCACACTCCACTTCAACTTCACTATCCCCCCACCAACACCCCTAACAAAACCCACCCCTACTCAAATCTCCTTTTCCCTCCAATTCAATAACTCAATCCACCTCATCACCACACAAACTCCCTTATCCCATCTCATCCTCTTCAAACTAAACCAAAACACAACCTCCCCACTTTCATCACACCTACCACACTATAACTCCTACTACCTTCACCCCTCCATCACACTCCCACTCAAATCTCAAACACCTATGTTTAATCACCCCCCTTCATCCATACTTCTTCCTACCCCATTCTCCCACCACACAAATATCCCTACCACCCAACATTCTCCCTATTCCTAACTCACCCTCTCCAACACCCCATTATATTCATTACAACCATATTCAACTCTCCTTCCACCTTTCAAAAAAACATCAATCCAATACCCAATCCCCCCTATCCCCCACCCACACCAAACCTAATCCACTAACTCAACCATCTCACATCCCTCTCTTTTCAATAACCTCCACAACCATAATCACCACCCCTCCCCTCAACACCCCCCCCCCCATCACCTACTCTCCAACCCACAACCTCCCCCCCCTCAAACCACCAACACCTACTCACACTCTCACACCACTTCCCCAAACAAATCACACACTACCACACCATCTCTAAATTCACCAATCTCCCCCACTACTCACTCTCCCACTTCCAACTACACTCAACTCCTCATCCCCATTCCTCTCTAATCTTCACCATCCCCCTTCTCCATAAATAATCACTCAAACCATCATAAAACTACCCAACCCCCTTCACTCTCATTATCCCCTCCACCAACCCACACCCACCCCACTCTCTATCCTACTACCCACCTCACCCAAACCCAGACTCCCCTCATCCACACCACCCACTCAACCAATACCAACCCACCCACTACCCTATCAAACAAACACTAAAAACCATACCCTAATCTCTACCAAGTTAATAACTATACCCCCCATACCCCCCACACCCCCCATCCTCCCTCCTCCACCCTCCCCTAAACCAACACCCCTAACCAAATACCCACCCTTACACTCTATATCCCAATATAATTTTTTCTTTTATTTTTCCCCCTACCCTATCCATCTATCTCCCCCCCCCACCCCTCAACCCCTCTCCCACCTCACAAAACTCCAAACATACCATACCCCCCCCAACACCCCCATCCACACAACCACCCACCACATTACCACCACCCACACCCCCACATTACCACCCCATCCCCTCCACCAATACCCCACTCCACCCAACCCCCTATCCCTACCTCTTATTCAATAACCTTCCCCACCTTCCCAACAATTCTTCTGATCACAATACTAGATAATCTCAAAATACCACCCTAGACCGACCCCAATCACCCCTCTTCTGATGTAACCCCCAAGCCACATCATTACCCAACCACACGTTTCTCCCCACTCACTTAATACATCAGATATCACATATTCTCTACTGACTCCTAAAAAAATAAAAGACCCTAATCCACTATACCTCCCAAACACCCCCCACATCCCACCAAATTATTATCATCAACACACCCCACTCATCAAAAACATACAATTACCCTCCCACTAACTCTCATATATCCCTCTCACCCACTGTTACTCCTATCACAACACACACGTCGTACTACATATCCCACCAACTATCATTGTCAATACCCACTAATACCTAGTCACCCCCCCCATCTCAACATCTCCCCTACATCTGACCATAGACTCTACCTAAATTCACACCCTACTAACCTTCACACTCCTCTAGTTCACCTAATTCACTTCTCAACCACCTCCCCCCTCCCACTCAAAACAATAACACCTCCAGATACAAACCCAGGACCTACCTCTAATAACCATACCTAGTAACCACAGACTAACACACTTTTCAACATCCTAAACCCGCTCTCCTCAGTCGACTCACCTCCTTGTGTAGACACACCTGATCTCTTGTGTCTCAATCCTTTACATAATACAATAGCTACACCACCTCGTTTTGTCCACGTGCCATTCCTACCACTGTCTCACCTAATAACTCCACTACACCATACATGTACTAAGACCTATGTCACTGCCCCCTACTGCTTCACTCTTGTTACCTGTTTCTCTCCCTTTCTTGTTATGTCTCGTTCTCCATCTTTAGGATATGCTAAACATATGTTTCTTGTGCCTATGTCTTGTCTGTCTAGATCAGATCGTGCCCTCTATTCATTCTGAATACTCACATTAACTAGACTGTATGTTGTTGTGGCCGCGATTTACCCATCCATGTGTCCTAACATTCTTTTCATTATCTGTGTCACTTATGTTCTCCTATCTAAGTCTGCTCTAATGTCCTTATGTTAAGCTCCATGTCATACTCCTGTTCCTCCACTAGCTTTCTCTGTTTGTCCTATGGTTACTACAAACACGGTTTTTGTTTGTTTTAAATGATGACTCTTCCACCTCTGACACAACTGCTTGTGTTTAATAGATCTCTTCTTTCCTGTGTCTCCTCCATTGTTCACAAATATACTTTATAGAAGCAACTCTCTCATATTGTGTCATGTTCAGTTGTTTCAGTGTTCAGATACTAATCTTTCAGCTTTCACTTCTAACATAACTGTTCACCGACTCATCTATGTCATTCATTGTAAACTCTGTCTTGTACCTGCACTACATAGTCATTCGTCTGTTACCCCCCTAATGTAGTCATTACTCTCCTTCTAATACTTATACCAACTCCATATGACTGCCCGACCTGATCACCACTTACCCAAGACATCCAGTGAGTCCCAGATCTCGAAACTATTATATCTCCCTCACTCACTCGCACTGCCTTCTACTGTGTCCTCTTCTATCTGTTGTGTCCCTGCACGCCTTCCTCTCCATGATCCTACCCGCTAAGATAGTCTCCCGTATCCTCCCATACCCAATGTCATAGTTGTCTATATCTAATACTTTTTAGCTGGTTATCCTCTCCTTCTTGTGTCCATCTATCTCCGTCGCACTCAACTCCTCTCTTGACAAAGGTTATTCTTCCCTCATGGATTCAAGTGTGTGTGTCTACTCTTCTCCCCCCCTACTGTGTTCTCACCAGACCCTCAATCATCTCCATCGTCGCATTCCACTTTTTTCCTCTCTCCCTTGTCTGCTCATAGTGTAAGTTCTGTGTCTCCTTGATTGCCTCTCCAAGCTCCTACAATCATCTCTTCCATTCATCTGCCTACTCGACTTCTCACTCTACAGACAACATCACCATCTACATGTCACTCTCTCCCCTTTCAGATGTCAGCGTCCACTCAATATTTAATCGCTTCACCTCTCAGATTACATGAATCCTCTATCCCCTCTCAATAAGATTCCGATGTCCACTCCTCATTGCCCTGTATTCTGTCCTTTCTCATCATCATCCACCCAGTGTGTGCCGCTTTCACCATTCTTCTGTTTCTCCCATCACAGAACCCCTACTTGTAACACTCCCATTCATTATGCATTGTCTTTTTATCTCTATACTCTCTGTTAATCATCGTGTCGTTTTTATCATCCTTTCAATATTCCATACAATCTGATCAACAATTTTGCTAAGTTCTGTTCTGAATTCTTAGTAGAAACCACAATCGTACTGCTCTGTTACTTATCATCTATGCTCACTAAAACTTGTCCTCTACAATTTCTTTACTAATCTACACAACAATTGTCATACTGTTTTCTAGATATAATGTTATGACACATATAATGGTGTTCTTATTTTTATCTCTATCGTGTCCACTGATTTCACTGTCTCTTGTTCTGTCTAGTCTCTTAAGTTTCCCTATGTGACAAATCCTGATCTATGTTAGAGTCACTAACTACCTAACCATCTCTCTCTCACTACCCCTCGTGTAACATCACCTTCTCCGCCTTATACCTCTATTTTTAATTACCCTTACTGTCCTATCTTCTACGAACCCTATCCACTCCACACCACCTCCATGCAATACACTATAGCTCCCTGTAATATTATTCACAGTGATGCATGTTAGTTTAGACTCACACATAGCACCTATCAACATCCTATGACTTACGCACTATTATACATGTGATCCTCCTCTAATGTACAGTCTGCCAATCACGACACTCATCTATCCTCCAATCACATAGAAGTACATGCATTCTACATCCACCTCTTGTCTATCACTACTGTGTCTAACATTACATCAACCAGCCTACAATACATCACTTCTCTATAAGAGACACCTCATCAATCCCACTCATGCTATAAACTCTAACTCATCACGAGTCACAAGTGTATCGTGTTGTGTTTCACTGTATCTCTGTGTGACCCCACCTCTGTATGTTTGCGTCTATAACCCCAGATCTAGACACAATCCTTGTTCATGTAACACACCTACACACTGACTCTGAGCCACTACACCACCAAACCATGCAAGACACACTTCAATGTGCTTAACTCAACTATCTCAACAGATTATCTACCTCCCACCTCCCTCAATTATGTTTCTCCGTCCCTTACATCCTAACTACTCCCTCTCTCCTATAACCCTAGCCCTACTCTCAATCTCTATGCCTGACCTACTTTCTACTACTGAACCACTTCCATGTGTATCGCACATTATGATAAGCCATGTTCGATGCACTATCTATCCTACTGTGTATCTTATCACTACTGTCGCACTACATAATTTAGTGACTACAAATAAGACTCCAGCTCACAACAACTACACCTGTTGCACTCCTCATCGCATCCATGACAATCTACACTTTGTATTCTATTTATATGTCGACCAGTCAAGTCCATAACCTACGCGATAACACTCTGTAAGATCTAAATCTACTCGTTTTAGACCCACTCGCTGTACATCTTAGTCTGGACCCATGTCCCACGTATATGTGCACTATATATGTTCCGAAGACAACTCCCAACTACATTCCATCTACCAAAGTCTCCTGACATTAACTCATCGAATTATGATCTTACATCACACTGCAGACTAACCCCTCTCAAGTCCATCTAACCTACCATAATTATGTCATATCTAAGTGTGTTGTTCACACTCACGTCTGTACATGTCACATTACCAAGTGCAATGACTCTCCATATTCACCCTCTTGTCTTAGCCTCTGCATGTGTGCAACCCACCTCTATCATAGCATCACAATGTTTATCGTCACGTACGCTTGTGTGTCTACCCTATGAACATACATATCAACACCTCGCCATGCCATCGTATCTATGTTAAAGTCTCGTCTCTATCACATAAGTTCGCTATCCTCGAAATCCCTCTGTCATGTCCCACCTCCTTCATCCATGTCAATCTGTCTACTCAGTCAGACTGACATAGTCCTGATAAATAAATCCGTGTGTCCTATCCACTCAGTTCTCATGTCAACTCTCAGTCTCCCACCTAACCATCCCCTCACCCATACGTCACTACTGTTATTTCAAGAATCCTGAGTTGTACCTACCATCATACTAGAAGTAGTATCCCTCGTCAGAGTGCATCTACACCATGCCATTATGTGTGCACCCATGTTCTCCTCACTATCACCCGCAC